ACGACCATCGACACCTTGCACAAGGAGGGCAAGACACAAAAGGTCATCGCTAAAGAGGCTGGCTGTTCACAGAGCTCAGTGTCCAAGCACATTAATAGAGAGGCGAAGGGAAGGAAAAGATGTGGTCGAAAAAAGTGTACAAGCAAGAGAGATAACCGCACCCTGGAGAGGATTGTGAAACAAAACCCATTCAAAAATGTGGGGGAGATTCACAAAGAGTGGACTGCAGCTGGAGTGAGTGCTTCAAGAACCACCACACACAGACGTATGAAAGACATGGGTTTCTGCTGTCGCATTCCTTGTGTCAAGCCACTCTTGAACCACAGACAGCGTCAGAAGCGTCTTGCCTGGGCTAAAGAGAAACAGGACTGGACTGCTGGTGAGTGGTCCAAAGTCATGTTCTCTGATGAAAGTAAATTTTGCATTTCCTTTGGAAATCAAGGTCCCAGAGTCTGGAGGAAAAGAAGAGAGGCACTTCATCCACGTTGCTTGAAGTCCAGTGTAAAGTTTCCACAGTCAGTGATGGTTTGGGGTGCCATGTCATCTGCTGGTGTTGGTCCATTGTGTTTTCTGAGGTCCAGGGTCAACGCAGCCACATACCAGGAAGTTTTAGAGCACTTCATGCTTCCTGCAGCTGACCAACTTTTTGGAGATGCAGATTTCATTTTCCAACAGGACTTGGCACCTGCACACAGTGCCAAAGCTACCAGTACCTGGTTGAAGGACCATGGTATCCCTGTTCTTAATTGGCCAGCAAACTCTCCTGACCTTAACCCCATAGAAAATCTATGGGGTATTGTGAAGAAGAAGATGTAATACACCAGACCCAACAATTCAGAAGAGCTAAAAGCCACTATTAGAGCAACCTGGGCTATCATAACACCTGAGCAGTGCCACAGACTGATCGACTCCATGCCACGCCGCATTGCTGCAGTAATACAGGCCAAAGGAGGCCCAACTAAATACTGAGTGCTGTACATGCTCATACTTTTCATGTTCATACTTTTCAGTTGGCCAACATTTCTATAAATCCTTTGTTTTTATTGGTCTTCAGTAATATTCTAATTTTCTGATATGATGAATTTGAGATTTTCATTTGTTGTCATTTGTAATCATCAAAATTAAACAAAATAAACATCTGAAATATATGAGTTTGTATGTAATGTATGAATATAATATACAAGTTTCACTTTTTAAATGGAATTACTGAAATCAATCTACTTTTTCATGATATTCTAATTTTATGACCAGCACCTGTATTTTAAAAGTAAAAATACGTATTCTATTGGCAGATCATCTTATTTGCCTTCTCAAATGAAGGATAGATACACTGGAGTAGATACACTTCTACTCCAGGACACATTTCTACTCAGTTTTAGTTTGTTTTGACAGTGAATGTATTTTAGGTTTTTAAGTAATAGACCATCACCAAGAAGAGCAAATTGAAATGGATAACAGTTTTTCAAACATCTTTGCAAAAACAGCTTTTAAACTGTAGATTAGATTCTGAGCCTCTGTGAACATGTTGTTAAGCATTGCCACATATTTTTGATTACATTTAGGCCTCAACCACTCTGAGTGCACATTCCCTAATCATCTGAATCCATTTTGTGTCAAAGAAGTGAATATTGCCATTAGATCAATAAAGTGGAAAGCCTTAAAAACATAATTAAGCATTGATCTAAACTACTCTATTGCAGCACTGGCTGTATTACTTGTGTGAATTGATGTTGTCCAGCTGGAAGTTGAATCTCTGTCCAGGTCTTACGTCTTTCATGTCCTCTAAATGGATGAAATATTTCCATTAAATCTGACCAGTTTTCCTGTCCCTGATAAAGAGTAGCATCCCTAAAGCACGATACTGCCAATATGGGACTGATGTATGCATTTCTACTTCTCCGCCATAGATGATGTTTCGTATGTAGCGGAAAATCTTTTCCTTTTAGTCAACCTTTGCCACAGCACCTCAGTCTATGTTCAGCAGTAAATGGTCTTTGCTTATATCACGTCTTTTCAAGTTAGAGTTAGGCACAAAAGCACTTTACTCAACAATCAGTCTTTCACACAATCTTGGTGGGAAGTTATGTTAGGTTACGTTGCTTCCTTTGGCTCATAAACAGAAGCAAGCCTGCTGTACACAGGCCCTACTGGGACCTCTGACCATTGTCAGTAATCATTAAAGTGTATTGCCCAAGGACACAATGATTTAGAGAGCAGAAGCTGGGGAAATCTACACCACTGTCACAACATTGTGCAATTAAAATGTGCGAGGTGGAGAAAAAATAGATGTAGGTGACATATCTGCATATTTAGCATAAAGTACATGGCTCAGAAATAAGTTTAAAAATAAACTGATTACCCAGTTATTTGCAGTATTCTGCAAATATTATCACTAGCCCAATAGTAGTCTCATTTCCATACCCATGATGGGGACTTTAAACTTCTGACAAAAGCAGCTAAGGGTTTTTCTTTTTCCTGTGAGCCTCAGTTATTGTTCTGTGTCCATAGCTTTTCTTGCATTGATGGGTTGTAAAGTAATGTCAGGCCTACATTTAAAGCTAAGTATCTGAATGCTTCACTACCAGTACAGAATTTTTAACTGCAGTTCTTTTCCATTGCTTTCCTCCATCACGTGTAGGACCTCTGAGTTTTTCTTGACTTTTGGCCTTTCTCACAAAGCCACGGGAAGCAGCGAAGCTTAGCAAAAATCAAAGCTGTCATTCTTGAGGGCACACGCGCTGCTCAACGCACTTCTTATCCTGAAGCGTGAACGAGGAAAAGCCCGTGGTTTCCAGGCTCTCTGTTTGGCAGCAGCAGGATCATATGACCAGAAATGTCTGTAATACTGGGTAAGCTGCTGAGGGCCAAACGTGGCTGCCCTCCAGAAGACCAAAAAGCCAAAGGAGTTTAACGAATGTGCTTTTTGCGATTATTTGGCCAAAGTATCTTTATCCCACGTTTAGATTAACTGAAAACTATTGAGGGCAGGGGTGGGGTGGATAGAGTTAGGCGCAAGAAACAAACACTAGCTCGAGGACAAGAGCTGTTCCAACACGGAAAAAAAGGGGCAGGCCTCCTTAAGACAGGACATGATTTGTTATATAGTACAAAATAAAACTATATAAAAAAGTACTTTATGTGCCTTTGATGTTTTGAAATCAATAACAGTCTCTCTTATATCTCTATGCTCTTATATCTCTATGTATAACAAAAAATATAAAATAACTAAGAAAATCCTGTTAAATTCTAATATGAAAACCTATTTTGTCATGCTGGAAGGTAAAAAGTAAGAATTAATTAAAATAAGTATAATATTTACCTTTGATATGAGAAAGAAAAATACTATATATATATATATTATATACTTGAATATATTGTAAACTAAAATAAGAAAACGTTCATGCATCAGGTTTGATTAAGTTGTGTTTATAAGCAGCCTAATTTACCATGATATCTATACATGCAACAGAAAACCTGCAGGTAGGTCAGGGTTGAAGTTGGGGAGAAGTTTAAAGTAGTGTTAGGCTATAAAACTATTTCCCAACCTATCAACATCTCATGTGGCAAAGAGCAATGGAAACAAACATCCAGTGATCCTCAGCTCAGCTCAGCTAAAAAACATGTTGACTGAAAAACACCACACATTAAAAACTAGCCTCTAATATGAAAAAATGTGAAGACGGCAACATGCTTTTGACCAAGGAAAGCAAGGTTGTTCAGGTTTGATGAAAAGATTGAAGAGGAGAAAAATATGTGAGGCTTCCCCTTCCAGTAGCGTGCCAACAAAGTGATGATCACATTGTGTTTAGATCTGTGCCTAACCCCAAACATTTTCCAGTTGGAAGGGCAGCAAAATCTGGTTCTTCGAGGTATTGAATCAGGGAGGCCTGAAGGTATAGTGGAGGGTGTTATTTTTCTGGGTGGATCATCAAAATAAGTGGTCCTCCTAATTGTCAATCATTCTGGTGATATGTCTATGTAAGGCCGTCCTATGCGCTCGTCCCTATTTTCCTTACTGGTGGTGAGTCTGTCATAGCGGAATAATTGCAAATCTTCTTTTGGAAAGTAAGCTTGCATGATTGATGCAAACAGAAAACTTTTAAACTGAGTGTGCATGAGGAGAAATGGGGTTGATCACGCGTTTAAGAGAGGTTTCCTGTCAGGAGTCGGTACAGCGTTGTGCATAAGCATTTAATTTTATTTTTCAAGTGGAGAGGGCCGGTCTTTTCAAACATTTACGAAAATCCTCTACTATACCTTTAATACAAATGCTCATCCTCTTAGATAGATTAAATCATAATTTTCTAGCACAATTATGAGGAACTTTATTTTACATAAAAGCAATAAAAGACAAGATTTTGGTTTGAAAGGTTCAAAGAGTATGAACACTTTTAAGAGTCAATCAAAATGCTGAATATTACAAAAGATTTGCAATGTTGCAGTTGATCTTTCATTAAACTTAAAAAGTCAGCACTGTATCACCTAGGTTATCTTTATTAATGCTTTTGTGCCACAAACCATTAATTATAGCTTTATGAGTAAAATATCCTACATTAAATGTGTTGAATGGAACTGATTCTTCTTTTGTTGCCTTTCTAACCCTAAAGTAAAATGTTATTAACTGGTAAAAAGTCCAGATTGAAGGCAGATTCAATTTTATCTAGATCTATTATATAGGATGCCTTAGCACAAGCAGAAAAATAAATCCTATTTATCCTTTTTATTCTAAAAATAAAAGCAAGACAGATTGATGCTATATAACCTATTTTCTGATATGTACATAGTGTCTATCCAAAGCTATTAGGATTCACTAAACTTTTTTTAGTCATCAGTAGCTACCATTCAGCTATTTGAAAAAGTTTAACAAAAAACTGGCTTGAGCTCATATTTATGGTTAAATTAGTTTTTATTTTACAGATTCACTTAGTTCCTAAATCTAAATTTTGGTTTGTTCATCAGTCACAAAAAGATACATTGTTTTCAAAGCAGACCAGAATAACTATGTTTGTGACAAAATGTATTTATTGGCATTTAAATTTTTATGTTTGTATTATTTATCAATCAGAGTACATTCATCAACTGAGCACTCATCCATCCTATAAATTAGGCATAAGTCTTTAACAAGTAAAATTAAATATCAGTGGAAAACAACTACAGGGCACATTAAAAGCTTTATGCAACTTGGGGGGAAAAAAACGGAAAAAAAAGATGCTGATGAGAAAACAGGTAATATCACAGTGTGGTACTTTGGAGTGCTCTTACATTGTATCTAATGTCTTTATTTACTCCCCAGCCATCCAACGTGCAGTTCCAGCCCTCACCCCTCCTTCTTACAGCAGTTCGATGTCACCACTAATGGACATCAAGTGCTTCGTATTTGCAGCTCTCTTCTGGACATACATTAGAGACAGAAACCCATTTCTCCGTCCATAAATAGAGCACATACAGCCACACAGACACAATATTCAGGCCACTACCCTTTCTACAGTGACAGCAGGATGCACTTAACAACCCAAAGACTGTTAACAAGTTAAAAAGGAACGGACGGTGAAAAGGATTTTGCACAGAGATTTAAATAATCATCTAATTACAGCCTGTAATTCTAGAAGTTAAAGTGATTCCAACACAAAACCTGCATTAATGTTATTAATAATTTAAGTTTAAAACATAAACAGGCTTGTTGCACATTGGGAAGAATATAAAGAGCATTTAAACTCTGCTTGATTAATGTGATTCCTTCAGATTTGGTTTAATAATTCATCTGGTGACACTGTAACGATAAAGTGCTCCATTATGGATCCCAAAGGCAATAACTTACACTTTAATAAATATCAATATTTTTACTTGGGGATCTATTATGGAGCCTTTTAAACTAAAGTACCTTTAGGCTTATTAAATTATGGGATTTTACAGATGATTGTGCTTTAAAAAAAAACCAAGAGGATGAAAAAAAAAAAAAAGACATTTAATGAACCTACACCTGTTTGAACGTTATGCAACAAAGTGCATCTCACTTCACTAAATTATACATCTTAATCCACCCAGTCTTGCGAATACTGTTGGGTATAAAAGTAAAAAGTAGCTCTTTAGTCCTTTCTGATTTAAGAAAGCCAAAAAACACTCTAGGACTCAGGCAGGATAAGTAAAGGTTCTCCTGGTCCTCTTCAGCTCTTTTTGTCCTGAATGTTCATCAAGCTGCTGTAGGACTTTGCTCGTTGAGCTGGAGAAACAAAACAGATCATAAAACAGAAATGGTCAAAAGTTACATTTGTGAAGATGATTTACAGATTTCTACCTATTACCTCAAACCTTTAGAAATAACCCTAAAGTGTATAACAAGTTATTACAAGACGAAAACATTGATCCTACTGAGAAAAGCAATTAGGTGACCCTGGTGTCTTCTAGTTTATAATGAGCTACAGGTGCTGGAAGGTTCTAGCTCTATTTAAGCTGCCACTGTATAAAACCTAGTGGTCAAAGATGTACTTAAATAGAAAGTTGACCTTATAAAAAGGTCTGCTCTTAATTTTATTTCATAGCACTCTATTTACAATAATAAAAACAACAATCTATGCAAGTGTTGAGCATTTTGAAAACTGAACGTCAGAGGTGTCAAGTAACAAGGTAAAAATTCTTAATTACCTCACTTAAAGGAATAGTACACCCAAAACATGATTAGCCTTCATTTTCTACTCACCCCCATGCTGAACAACACTCTGGAGTACTTTTTTGATATCTCAAATGCATCTGGAGATCTGGGAGGCTTCTTGCTGTCTGCTGACATTCAAATAATGGAGGTCTATGGCGCCCGAGGCAGAAAGGTCCATAAAAGTCCACAAAAAACGTGTCAATATTCCTCCATACTGCTCGTCCAATGTATTCCAAGTGTCCTGAGTGGGTAGCGTCCATAATTTACTCAAAACAAAGTCATTTAGAATGTTTTTAGAGCATAAACAGTAGTGTATAGGATTTCCTGAAAGCGCGCGCCTGCGAGTTCACGAGTCTACGGAAACCGCGGCAGACCAAACCAGATGAAAGTGCGCATTCAGCTCGGCAAAGAACTCATGCTCATTCTCAACACTGAAGTCCTCAGACATTTTTCTTTCGTTGTTTCTTTCTTTGCACAGGTAAACAGCACATTTCTTCTTCTACGCTTGCATTATTGGCAGAGCAGACGCTGAATGCGCACTTTCATCTGGTTTGGTCTGCCGGCTTCCGTAGGCTCGTGAACGCGCATGTGCGCGCTTTCAGGAAATCCTATACACTACTGTTTATGCTCTAAAAACATTCTAAATGACTTTGTTTCGAGTAAATTCTGGATGCTACCCACTCAGGACACTTGGAATACATTGGACGAGCAGTATGGAGGAATATTGACACGTTTTTTGTGGACTTTTATGGACCTTTCTGTCTCGGGCACCATAGACCTCCATTATTTGAATGTCAGCAGACAGCAAGAAGCCTCCCAGATCTCCAGATGCATTTGAGATATCAAAAAAGTACTCCAGAGTGTTGTTCAGCATGGGGGTGAGTAGAAAATGAAGGCTAATCATGTTTTGGGTGTACTATTCCTTTAAGTAGAAATGTTGGCTATCTATATCCTGAATTAATTATCTTTTTAGACCACTTTTACTTCTTCTTGCATTTTTTTCCAATTCCCTCTACTTTCTATTCCTTACATTTAAAAAAAAGACTCATTAGTTTTGTTTCATTTGGCCCAATTTGCATTATGACCTGTTGGTATTTAAAAACAATAAAAGATCAAAAGTATTTGTTTTATCCAGATAATTATTTTTTTTGTGGTTTGGTGTACTGTTCCAATTTGTTGTCCACCACATACCAAAATAATTATTTTTTCAAGATGATGTTGCTATTAATTGTAAGACTAAGGAAATTAAGTATGAAGAAGTTATCATCCAGAATTGTAGAAACATGTTCCTTTAATAGGGTAGGGCAGTAAAGCAGGTCCTCAACAATTTTCCCTGCAATACTTTCACACTTTATGTAGTTTTAAAAAGACTACTTTTACACTTTTACTTGAGTTTAAATTGATACTTTTAGAAAAGAGTTTTTAAACAGAAGGATTTATATTTCTATTTAAGAAAGAAACTTAATACTTTTTACACCACTGTTTAACATACAACCTGTATACAGTGGGGCAAAAAAGTATTTAGTCAGCCACCAATAGTGCAAGTTCTCCCACTTAAAAAGATGAGAGAGGCCGGTAATTTTCATCATAGATATACCTCAACTATGAGAGACAAAATGAAAAAAAAAAATCCAGAAAATCACATTGTCTGATTTTTAAAGAATTTATTTGCAAAATATGGTGGAAAATAAGTATTTGGTCAGTTACAAACAAGCAAGATTTCTGGCTCTCACAGACCTGTAACTTCTTCTGTAAGAGGCTCCTCTGTCCTCCACTCGTTACCTTCATTAATGGCACCTGTTTGAACCCGTTATCAGTATAAAAGACACCTGTCCACAACCTCAAACAGTCATACTCTAAACTCCACCATGGCCAAAACTAGAGAGCTGTCAAAGGACACCCGAAACAAAATTATAGACCTGCACCAGGCTGGGAAGTCTGAATCTGCAATAGGTAAACAGCTTGGTGTGAAGAAATCAACTGTGGGATAAATTATTAGAAAATGGAAAACATACAAGACCACTGATAATCTTCCTTGATCTGGGGCTCCACGCAAGATCTGACCCTGTGGGGTCAAAATGATCACAAGAACGGAGAGTAAAAATCCCAGAACCACACGGGGGGACCTAGTGAATGACCTGAGAGCTGGGACCAAAGTAACAAAGGCTACCATCAGTAACACACTACGCCGCCAGGGACTCGAATCCTGCAGTGCCAGACGTGTCCCCCTGCTTAAGCCAGTACATGTCAAGGCCCGTCTCAAGTTTGCTAGAGAGCATTTGGATGATCCAGACGATGACTGGGAGAATATCATATGGTCAGATGAAACCAAAATAGAACTTTTTGGAAAAAACTCTACTCGTCGTGTTTGGAGGAGAGAGAATGCTGAGTTGCATCCAAAGAACACCATACCTACAGTGAAGCATGGGGGTGGAAACATCATGCTTTGGGGCTGTTTTTCTGCTAAGGGACCAGGACGACTGATCCGTGTGAAGGAAAGAATGAATGGGGCCATGTATCGTCAAATTTTGAGAGAAAAACCTCCTTCCATCAGCAAGGGCATTGAAGATGAAATGTGGCTGGGTCTTTCAGCATGACAATGATCCCAAACACACCGCCCGGGTAACGAAGGAGTGGCTTCGTAAGAAGCATTTCAAGGTCCTGGAGTGGCCTAGCCAGTCTCCAGATCTCAACCCCATAGAAAATCTTTGGAGGGAGTTGAAAGTCTGTGTTGCCCAGCGACAGCCCCAGAACATCACTGCTCTAGAGGAAATCTGCATGGAGGAATGGGCCAAAATACCAGCAACAGTGTGTAAAAACCTTGTGAAGACTTACAGAAAACGTTTGATCTCTGTCATTGCCAACAAAGGGTATATAACAAAGTATTGAGATAAACTTTTGTTATTGACCAAATATTTATTTTCCACCATATTTTGCAAATAAATTCTTTAAAAATCAGACAATGTGATTTTTTGGATTTTTTTTTCTCATTTTGTCTCTCATAGTTGAGGTATATCTATGATGAAAATTACCGGCCTGTCTCATCTTTTTAAGTGGGAGAACTTGCACTATTGGTGGCTGACTAAATACTTTTTTGCCCCACTGTATATGTAAATCTGCAAAAATAATCAGGACATATATTTAAAATTAAATAATTACTTAATGATGAGATACAATGACAGAAACTAAATCTAGAGCTCAGAATGACTTTACAGAAGAAACCTTCCTGGTTCAAATGCCATAAAAAATATTGCTTATAATTCAAGAGTCAAATAAACAATACCACTTTTTGTTTTTCAATCTGGAAGATGAAACTTCTCATAAATGGTTATTGGAAGCAAGGTTTGTAGAAGTACAAAATTTTGAAATTGTCCTGGATATTATAGTAAATTTTAAACAAAAAAGTAGCAGAGGCGCTTGTGAGCAACAAAAAATGCAGGAGCAACAAAAAATGCACTCCCCAGTGCTCAGAAAGGTGGTAAACACAGGGTATAACGTGGAACCTTTTGGATTAACTGAAACTTTTAACCCTTTAAAGCCCGATCCAAGAATAAAACAAAACAGAAAATTACTTTTTTTTGGTTTTAAGTCCTTATTTGGCCTTTTAACAAAATATGTAAAAAGAAAAAACAGAAATACATTTTTGATATTAATAATTTATTATTATGCGATAAGTCAAAATGATTTTTTGTGTAGTCTTCTGCCCTCTGTTATCAGGTATATCTGATTGTGTACAATAGGATTTTGAGTAAAGTTTTTACCATTAAATTATGCAAAAGGTGTCAGAAGCAAAACATTTCAGAAACCGTATGTATCAAATATGATACATTTGGCATTACAGGGTTAACTTCACAGATATTAAAGTTAAAAGCGAAAGGGGAAAAAAAAAAAACTTTTTTGCAACTTTTGAACTCTGACACTATAAACATCAGTAATGAAGGTGAGCACATTCTACCCACACAAACTCAAACTTATAAAAACAATAACCTAAAATGCATCTCTAAAATCCATAATATAAATCACAAATTCCCAGTCGGTCCAGCGCACCCCCAAACCTACACCACAAAGACCAAAAAACCCTTAAAAAACCCAGACAAAAAAATCTCCCAGCGTGGGACAATGGATGAATAAAGCTGGTTACTTACGGTGTATGAGCTTTCGTTTCTTTTGTTCTGAGTGAAGGAAGCTGCTCAAGTAGAAGACGATGGGCAAAAAGAGCAGAAAGGCTGACACAGCGACGACAGGAACCGTCTCCTCACGGGGAAACGAGCAATGGAACTTCTTACTCCAGAGTTTGCGGGTCATATTCATCTGAAAGGGGGGGGGGGGGGGGGGGGGGGGGATATTTATTCAAAGTACATTTCAACAGCTCACAGTGCCAGAAAACCCATCAATTCAAACTGACCAGACCCTTCCTTTAGTGTGAACAAACACCTATTCTCTGCTACTTTTAAAGCTTTCCTACATTTTCTTTTTTGTGAAATTACTTTGTTTTCAATGTAACATTTGATTTATTTAAACAATATTTCTGTTTTTAATTTTTTGTAACAGTGAACAATTATGATATTTTAAAATGCTTTCGTGAACTCCTATTCCTCCAGGATGGGGGTCGGCAATCCGCGGCTCCGGAGCCGCATGTGGCTCTTTAGCATCCCTCTGCGGCTCCCTGGAGCTTTTTCAAACATTTATGAAAATCTTTTTTATTTTAATATGATGTTCAGGAGGTCAAAGAAAAATGTATTATGTTTTCCAATTCTGTAAACATTTGTATAATAAATACATTAAAACAATAATTTGCGTCATAGCCATAGAGATCAGTGGTCACAACTTGCAACCAGCGCGGCGCAGTGCCAGGCAAACAAAGCTGCAGGTGTGTCTCAGACCATGGATACCAAAGGGAAAAAAGGAAGATAGCTGATGAGAAAAGAGGATTCAAGGAATGGATTGAATTATTGCTTTTATTATCAATGCGGAAGGATTGCCTGCATTTCTGCTTTGAATTGAGAGGTTGTCAAAAAATAAAAATAAAAATTTGGAAAGGCATTTCCGGGGAAGGCGTGCTAAATATGCAGCCGACCACAAAGCTGGAAGGGAGAGAAAAGGTGCGATTGCAGAACTTCTGGATAAATTAGAGGAGCGCAAAGACAGATTTAAGGAGTGGATTGCATCTCCAAACTCCACTACTGCTGGTAGGTTTGCTGCGAGGATGGAAAACCATCAACAGATCAAACAAACGGGTAGCGCTCTGATGCAGGCATGTGAACTTTCTTCCATTTCCCCCCCCCCAAATCCTAAAAATAGAAATCACACCAAGGAATGCTGGTGACGGAGCATTTCAGATTTAGAGAGCTTTGCTCTGATGGATGTCAGTTCCTGCTTGGTTCCTCATGACTCAATCAGCTCCTCCCAATAGAAACATTTCCACAATAGAGAGATTCCTTGATCGTGTTTCTATAATTTCATCAATGCAACGAAACCTAAACTGCACGGTAAAGGCCGGTGAAGCGGGGCACGCTGAGAGGGTTCACTTCTCCTCCCTCACCTCATGCTGCAATGTGACATTTGCTCCAGAATAAACATTTAATCATGAACGCCTATTATATATTTCAGTCCACATAGGCTTTTTCTATAGTGGGATATTACTCTTAGAGCCCTTGTTCCCATACGAGGCACATATAAAACCTTCAAATTTTTGCAGCTCCAGACGGATTTTTTTTTTTTGGTCCAATATGGCTCTTTGGTCAGTTTGGGTTGCTCTAGGAAAATAACTTTTATCTCTTCACAATAAAGGCACTTTTCTCTATAAAATACTTAAAATACATACCGCATCCTCCAAGTCAATACACAGGGTGTTATTGGCCTCCATGCCACTGTATAGGTCATTTAGATTCTTATAAGCAGTTTTGCAGTTTTTACACAGTTCTGAAAGGTTACCCTGTATGTCAGAGAGCAGAAAAAAACATTACTGGAGTTTATTTACAAAAAAGATGTTTTAAAAAGACACCATTCGACCATATTACATTATACCTGTTTATATTTATCAAAACATGTGATGGTTTGGTTGAGAAGAGTCAGGTAGTAGAGCGTGTCGTTCTTTGGGCCCTTTAGATCACCAGTGACACAATCTGCATGACATGATAGAAACATAGAAATATTAAAAAGTTGTACGGAGCCTTTTATATTCAGATACGTTTTCCTGATGAAGGGCGAGATGTTACAACAAAACATTATATCTGTAATACTATACAGTTCAACAATATACAAGCAGCCCAGCAAGCCCATCACATCCTGTATAAACATATGAACATTATTGGGCCAAGTCAACCAAAACTCCTACAAAATAACATTTTATAAGTCATTGTTAAAAAAAAAAAGCATTGTTTTTTGATGCTACAAGATCAACAGAAGAAATTCACATATTACCAGGTCTTCTCTCCCTCCTGATCTTTAACTCCATGGCTTCTAAACTTGTTAAGTGTATTTGTCATTAACTAATTTATTTTTCCATGACTGATTGTTTTATATTCTTGAAAACTAACACATAACCTGAAAGACAATGTTAAAAAATAACTATAGTATATTAACAAAATGACTGACAATACAGACTAAAGGTCCCCAATTACTTAACAACAACTTAACAGTTGATAAACCCCTATTGACAGTGTAGGCAGCATTTTACAATGACATTTTTTATTTTTATTTTTTTAAATCATTCTCTTGTTAAGTTATACACCTAACTTTTTAAATAAAAGCAGAATATCTTTAGTAAAACAGATCCCAGTCCTTTGAGCAAATGTTAACACCACTAATAACACTGCCTACTAGCATACATTTAAATTTGATCTCAGTGAGGACCAGCTCAGTCAAAACAAAACTAATTTACTTATCCCATAATGTCACAAGATGGCTCTCTGTCGGCGCTGACCAGCCTCTCTTATTTAAAGGCTGCGACCAGCTGTTGATTCCAGACCAGCATGCTTTCTGCACGGAATGCACGCAATATGTTTTTTCTATTCATCAGACGCTTACTGTTAATGGGGCTTTTGGTCATGTTAATATGGCTGCTCATTTTGCAGCTAAAACCTACAGCTGCAGAGCACAGTTCCCCGTCTGTGATGAGTGTCATCGCTCAATGCGATGCAGTTCTTTCTGTTTGGCTGAAATTGCATTTGCCTGAAATGTCAGTCATTGACAAACTCTGTAACCACAGACTGCAGCGTATAATAATGGAAATGTGTTAAAATGTCTTAAATATCACCTTTACTGAATAAAATCTTATTGCAATATATACTGATATTGGATTATTTGCAGCCCTAGCCATTAAAGACAATTAAAAGACTTTATGGAGAGATTATGATGGGTCCCTGATCATTATTCAGTGCCCTGCTACTATAGCTGCTTTGGAACAGTTCTTGGATTTAAAAGAGAAAAACTCCAATGACCCTCTTAGTTCTGTCAATATCTATGTCAGTATCTGACATAGTGACGCTGAAGTACCTTTTTAAGACAAGGATAGTCAACTTAAGAGGTCATTGCAAATTACAAAATATCTGCAGCTAATCTGACACAGTACTGGGGAGCTTGGAATGCCTGGGAAACTATCATCCGCTAAGAAAACCAGAGTGACAGCCTGTGGGGATCACACCAGATGCTTGCAGCCTTCTTCCCAAAGCTAGTGCTCCTTTTTGGAGGGGAGTATGTTCACCTCATTACCTACGGTACATAAGTTTATGATCACCTACTTCGTTTTCTCTATGGTGAGCAGCTGGTTGCTCTATATGCAACTTAATCAACATTAAAGCTAGAATAAAGTGAATACTCTAGGATAAAATGATAAGAGTCTTTGAATGCATCATTCTGAACCCAATCTCCCCATTTTCTACACTTTTTCTGAATTTTGTATTTTCCTCCTTCAACTTGAGCAACAAAATGTTTAAATATATCCGATATTAGGAGCCTTGTTTTAATTTTTAGCTTTAAATCTATAAGCGTAGTCCAATTTTGTTAGATTATCTTTAACCTTAACACCATAACAAATCTTGAGAATCTATTGAATTTCCAGAAAAAATATAATTTCCTATGGCAACTTAACCTTTTCTTTACTTTTCTCAATTGTTCTACCTTTAATCAGACTGGAGTTGTGATTGAGGAGCAGAACTAATGTATCTGGAGTTAAAATAAACAGTCTACAGTGGTCTACACGCTGCTTTTAGTTTTAGCAACAATGCATGGAAATGTCCAATGCACCCTCTGACACAATACTTTGCATTCTGCTGCTGACCTAAAAGATTAGTTAGTAGATCTACCATATCTGATGTTATTATAAAATGAAAGGGGACAAATGGAAATTTCCTCCATCACCATCCGGATCACATGTTTGAAGGGCTGCTTATCATAGTGTAAATAACTAAACGCAAGAGCATCTGTATTCACTGATCATAAAAACAATTGCTGAAGAACTTACTTTCGCAGTTTGATTTTTTCCAAATGAGATCCACGTTGCTGTACAAAAGGAAAACCAGCATCAGACGATCACTGCTCAGAATGGTGTTCCTGCAGCTCACATTGCCAGGACCCACCTGAAAATACATTTAATCACATATTAAAAATCCCTCATATATACTTGATTGTTTTTCTTGGATTATTAATATGTTCTCATGAAATGCTCAGAGAAATTATGATGTGATATCATCCATCCATTTTCTGACAGGCTTTATCCCAAGTGGGGTTGCGAGTGATGCTGTCTCCAGCTGTCTATGGGCGAGAGGCGGAATACACCCTGGACAGGTCGCCAGTCCATCGCAGGGAAACACTGAAGCTGCGTCTCAATTTGCAGGCTGCGTCCTTCGAAGGACGCATTTTAAGGACGGTTACGTCACAACGCTTAGCGGAGGCAGTCCCATTTGGCAAAAATTCTGAGGATGCTTAAATTGCAGCCTTTGAATGCATCCTCCTTGAGACAAACAGAACAAGCAACAATTCACGCACGCACTCACACCTAAGGAGAATTTAGTAAGGGCAATTTATTTTTTTATTATTTTTCCCTCTGTCATGCTTTCTGACTTATATATATATATATATATATATATATATATATATATATATATATATATATATATATATATATATATATATATATTTGATATCAATATATTTGATTTAAAAAAAAAAAAAAGAAAAAAGTTTTTGGGACTGTGGGAGGGAGCTGGAGTACCCAGAGAGAACCCACGCATGCACAGGGAGAACATGCAAACTCCATGCAGAAAGACCCCAGGCCGGAAATCGAACCCGCAACCTTCTTGCCATATATCTCTATATATATATTGCACCACAGAGCGCCACAGGAAATCATTCCTACCTGTGGTCATCAATCTATATAACGCCTCCCTCAAGTCATTCAGCCCCCCCCCCCCTAATTGACATTTATGCACTATTTTTGCACGCCACGTATCACTTTACTTGGATTTATCACTTTCCTTGGATTTTCACTTTATTTGGATTTAGTTTTTACATATGCATAGATATACGTACAGATATATATACAGAAGAGCTATATGTGTATATATTTTATCACTTTTTATTCTTATTTTTTATCTTTATTATATTGTATAGTTGGATGTGTGTATATATTATATAAAACTGTAACTGGAGCGTGTAACAAAAGTAATTTCCCTCTGGGATTATTAAAGTATTTCTGATTTGATATCAATATATATATATATATATATATATATATATATATATATAAAATTTAAAAAAGTCAGAAAGCAGGTCAGAGGGGGGGAAAAAGTGGCTTCCTCAATTTATTAGTCACATTACCAAACTCGTGACTGAGTCCACAGCGCATGGACAAACCCAGTTGAGAGCCTACAAATGAAAGCAATGAATATACATTCGTGTTTTATTTAATACCTGGTCTGATGAGATGTTCATGAAGACCTCATGGAGGCTTTGATAACCTGGGGAGCAGTTCTCGCACACTTTGACAGGTCGAGCAGACGGAACCAGGCAGTCCACATAGGTTACATAGCGCTGTCCGAACAGACGGAGCAGCTCCGAGCAATACTCGCTGATCTCCAGGTCATCGGGGAAGGAGGAGAGCAGACTGATGGAGAACGCAGAGTCCACAGCTGGCTTGAAAACAGGAGAGTTGACCACAGAGGAGCTAGGGCTCGGAGAACTAGGATCTTGTTGGGGTTTTGTAGCTGAATCCGAAGCGGTGACGTTCACAGCGTCACTAACTCCAAAAATATAAATATCCACAGCTAGAAGTAAAAAAACTAAAACATATCTGTACCGAAACATGGCTGGAAAGGGAGCTGCGTTTTCGCCCCTCACTCCAAACAACCCATGACTTCCTCGTTTACAACCAACCGGGTCATGTGACTGGTATTTGAAGTCTCGCGAGAAAGCCAAAAGTAACAGCCCTTCTTCTTCTTCCTCCTCTTCTTGTAATTATCAGCCCTTGTTCCACTTTTTAAAGTTAATTTGGCGCTTAGTAAACCGCTGTAGGTGTGCATTACCACCACCACTGATTTAGGGTGTGGACTGATACGACGAAAGAAAACAAAAAAATAAAATTAATATAATATCCCGTCAAACAAATGAGTAATTCTAAGAAAATAAGTCAAAACATATATAACATCCTGGATCCATTGTATTTCTTCATTTTCTAAACCCACTTTGAAATTTTAACAGAACTAATTTCTTTTCTATATAGTATCTTATTCTTTCATTTTTTCATAATTTTACTTATCTTAGAAGTTAAAGCAATTGGTTGATATTTATCTGGTGTTGTATTATTCTCTCCTGGTTTTTGTATGGGTAATATTGCTTCCTTCCAAACTTGTGGTAACTTTTCTTCCTTCAACATTTTATTATTTCATGCTAAAAGAATATGAATAAGCAGACCGTTGTAACTTTCTCCACGAGGGAAGTGAGAAAGAAATTGGGTGTTAGATCTAAAGGGAGAAAAAGACATAGAGAAAGGAAAGAGTGCACGAAAAGAGGGGGAAAGTAAAAACAAAACAGCAAAAATAGAAAACACAGAAGATATACAGTAACTCCTAGAAGTCTGCCTCCACACCTATATGAGATGAGACAAGCACAAAACAGAGAAAATAATAACAGCAAAAAGAAGACATCAGACAGCCAAAGTAAGCATAAAAACCGGTTAAACTTTTCAACTGTTACTTCTTGATTCGATTATACTATCTCCTTGTTTCTGCTCCTACTCTCTGTCCCTGTACTTTTTAAAGCTTTTGTATTATTAACATTACCAGCCATGTGTCATGATCTCTGCACTGATGTCTGATCTTATCACTTATTTCACACACCTACTTAACTCTACCCAGTTCTCATTACTCGCTTATCTGATCCACCTGCATTGGTCACTATAAAACCAGCCTTCAGACCAGTAATCAGTGACAGATTATTTTGAGCCATTGGTGACTTATTCCAGCATTCTTAGTTCTGATGTCCAGCAGTCCTCTGCTCTGTGAATTGAAACTGGACTGTGACCCGATTCTGTCTTGGATCATCCTTCAGCACTTTATGCCTCTCCGATCTCCTGGCTCTGACCATTGACCATGTCCCCAACCACGTCTTTGTCATTGCTCTACGGCTTATCCTGCTCACTGTCCATAAAAATGAGCCACTAGTGCCGTAAAAACTCAACAACCAAGAAAAAAACGATTAGGTTAGTGACCCACACGTTTTTGTGTGAGCACTTTCAGCTAAACGAGGTCACTAACCTGTTTTCTCCTCCTGCAGAGGTTCCTGCTGTAGATGCTGACACCACCCGTTACGTTTATGCTCTTAATAAACTGTTAAACCTAAACTGTTTGTCTCCCTCAAATACTGGGTCCACCTATTCTGAGTCTAACACCATGTTGTATTTCTCCTGCCTTTTTTTTTTTTTTACTTCACATCCCCTATATGTCACATTGTGTTGCCCTCCACAGTTACAGCATTTTTCCTGTGTATTTTCAGTACAACATTTGTATTTGGGATTCCCCCCCACATCTAGGACACATTTGCTGTCTTCTACAAACCATTGCTCTGTGACCAAATATTTGACATTTTAAGCATCTTAGTGGAGGAGGTTTAAAGGGCCTAACTGGAAAAGTCAAAATACCATATAAATGTTGTCTGGGAGTTTGCCTGCTTTAAATTCCAATATTACTTGAAAATATTTTTCCATCAAAATTTTGTAAAAGTCTAGTACCTTTTTGACTGTCTACCTCAGAAATGCTCTTTTTAAGTTTTCCAAATATTGGCCTGTTGAAATCCCTGTAATCACACCTTTTGTTTTGTTTTCTCCAAAGATGTTCCTTTCTTTCACATACTGTCTATCTGAGTGACTGTTTTTCCTGCTCTTTGGTTTTTTTAAACTTTCATCTCAAAAAGTTTTAGCAAAATGTAATTTTAATTCCCTGGATACTTAGTTAAATGTTTTCATCTTCATCTTTATATTTTAGAATAATTTTAAATAATTCTTATTTTTTTCACATACGATCTCACTCGCTTCATCTGAACCTACTTCCTCCGAAAGTTTTTTTAATCCCGTCCATACTTCTCTCTTCTCGTCTTTCTCCTTACTTCTCCCTCATCCATTCACAACCCAAGGCCAATCATTAATAGCAATTTCTTCATCATCATCTTTCTGATTCACCATTCCAGTCCATTCACAGATCAGCTTATGCTCACCACCAAATTCAATTTCCATTATCCATTTTAAGCCAACAAAATGAAGCCAAACCTTTTAAATCAAGTAATAATTAGAAGGCAAAATGAATATAGGCTACATCTAGGCTGCTGGTGATACTCATTTTTGTATTTTGTCATAAGAAGACCTATTAGATATACTAATATTCAATCATAAAATGTGAAAAACATGAATAAAATATCAGCTCATTATCGGTAAAAGTCAAATATACATTTGTCATTTATCCATATTAATAATTTCTTTATTCCTCCTGTCAAGTAAGCTTTGACTGGCTGATATAATTGGCAGATAAAATATCCCATATATAGTGACATACATATAGGTAAAAACTTAAATAACTGAATATTCTGTCTATCTATATTTCTAACTCTGGCTGGCTGATGGACTGTATTCTATTGTCTTGGTCACTTCAGTTTGAGTGATGGGGGTGTGTAATTGCGCTTGTTGAAAGGAGATATCCCTTCCTCCTGCTTTCCTGGTTATTTGTGGGTTCTTGACATCATGCGTTTTCTCGACATGCAGCAAATAATCATAGAGTCAAGGTACAAACGATCTGGGCTCCAGTCCTGATTGAGATAATTGTCAAAACCCCAGTCGAAATCAAGCGATCGCAGTCAATGGTCGTTAATGCGAAATTAGCAGCTCTTGATAACTTGAGGCCGCATCAATCCCACAGTCATCAGAGCCCTAATGAAAATAAGCAGGGAGAGAAAGCGCCGCTGCGTTCACGGCCCACTCTGATGCCTCCTCTGATAATTCTGGCCCCTGATGCTGCTCCTGCTGCACATGGCACCGGCAGCTCATTAACTCTTCTTCTCCTGACCAGTCCATTTAAATTGTTCAGATATCCCTCTCTGTCTCATCCCTGTTTAAGCAAAGCAACTTAAAAAATAAACAATTACTCCAAAAAATGCAAAGATCCTGCAGCTTGCTGTGACGTTTCATAAAAGGGCCTTTGCGTTCTCTATATTATCTCTAGTTGTGATGGTATCTGTGTGAAATAAAATACAAATGCTTTGTTTAACTGTTCACCATGCCTTTCTTGATAATCAGCAGAAAATAGGATTTCTTCACAGAGATGACCAAATAATGCCTTCATTTGCATCTAAGAGACAGAAAAATCCAAAGGGCAAAAAATCACTCAACCATTAATTGGATCCATAAATTAGAGGATGAGATGATGAGGGCTCATCAGGAGGAAGGGATCAGATACAAGTCATAATGGAGCACAATAGTGATATTTTCTATAATATTAGGAAGGAAAGCAGTTGATAAAAGAAACTGATGTGGTATATCAGGAAGACATAGTTCTTTTTAGAAAGAGTTGCAGGAGTTTAATTAAATACATTGGACAAAGAAAATCTAGCCATGCAACCACTTTGGAAGAAACAGAACAATAATCAACTATCTGACCTTGAAGCCCCCTTAGCACCTTCAGATTATGCACAGGAATAGAGGTTGATTTTTTTTATCTCTCCAAAACTACAGCATTAGACAAATTTATTGGCAGAACTTTTAAACACTTGTAAGCAAGATGATATTGGAAGAAAAAAAAAAAAACTAATCTCACCAACACAATTGAGTTGCATTAAAGTGTGCTGGAAAATGCATTTTCTGTCCTTTAATCACAGATGTAAAACATATTAAGTTTTCCATGGAGCTGTGTGTTTTGATCAGATGAGACTTCAATTGAGCTCGGTTGACCCCATATGAAAAGTTCACTTTCCTCTCTCTAAATGCTGTGAGACCTGTGAGTTTTCTCCAAATCTTTGGACAGCTGTACAGATATCCTGCACTCTCCCTGTAGCTTTTGCATCTACAGAGCAGAGCTTTTCCAACCTTAAATTAAAAAAAGTCCTGTTTGAGATCTTCAGTGGTACAAAACACACTGAGTAGACCAGACGAAATTAGAACTAACAGCAAAGTTTTCCATCAGATTTTTAGAGATATATTATATATATCTTAAAAACAAACAAAACTGAAAGCACAGGTTTGAAGATTGGGTGGGTTATTGGGGAAATACAGAGCAATAAAAAATGTCAAATTTGTTTGTAAATGTTGTGCCATTATTTCTTCATAAAGCTTTTTGCATACAATTGCCTACTTTTACAGAGAATTCAAAACATAATTATTAAGCTTTTAATTTGTTTATTCACTCTTTTTGTTACCTCTTTTAAGTAACTTTTCATTTACATGATTTAACTGAATAGGGGCTTTATATTGTATCATTTATTTTATTTTAACATTTGTATTTTTGTACAATTGAGTTTGTTTTCAATGATCTATGTTTTTTGAGTTTTTTTATCTTTTTTTGTTTGTTTTTTTCTTTTGTTATTGCACTGCTGATTAATTTTGCGCATTGCCGTTGTAGTTTTTGTGGAACCAAAAAATAACAAACCAGATTAGACATTTACTGTAAATACATTTCAGATAAAATTTTAGTCAATATACCTATATTAAAGTGCAAACATCATGGCAAGAGCTGTGATAAGTTTATAGAAGATGTGTGAATGATATAACTAATCTATATTGGTATCAGAAATAAAAGTATTCAAAATAAAATTTCACTTAGGGCCGCATGGAGGATGGAACATCTCGGATGCTGCCTAATAAGTTGCGAAAAATCGTTGTTGTAAATGCAGTTAATGTGGTATAAAAT